TTGATGGAATTAATCTGCTTTTAAAGAACACAGAGTATGAAAACAACAAAGCAGTGAAGAATCCAAAGTACAAAGATAGAGCAGGAAAACGCAGAGAAACCATTGGCAGTGAAGGAACCTTCCAGAGAGATGATAGTCCAGCTTCTGTTCATATGTAAGTTTTGGGGGGGGGGTTGTGGGGGGTTGTGGGTGGGGGATGGACAGGGGATCCTCTGTGTCTTTCTCTAGTGAATCATGAAAAATAAAGTAAGTATCAATTAGTTACTAGGATACAGTTTGTTAGATTATGAATTACCTGTATATGTGTTAGGAGAGCTAGAAAATAGTAAGCTATTCTCACTTCTGAGTTCACATGCTCTTTTTATTAACTCCTCACCTTCCATACAGAATTCAACTTGGCCGTAAGAATACTTAGATCATTTACTTACCAACTCAACAAATCAAGGAACTCCCCAGCTGCACTACTGATGCCTTCAATAGTGTGTTTTTCAAGTGTCTCAATTCCTGTTTTTCCTATCCAGCCCCAGTAATAGTACACATGCAGATTTTTTACCTAGTTTCTTTCACTGTCAACATCCAGCCTGCCTATTGTAGGACATGCATTTACATACCTCTTAAATGATACTTACTTTAATCTTCCTGTTTAATTATTCCTTTGCTTCTGTAGTTGTAGTTGAGGTGGTTTTTTTTTTTTAAGAAACATGAACCTGTAGGTGCTTATAAGTTAGTAAAAGTGTGAGACAATGAAGTATGTGTGTTAGGAGGATTTGGTGGTGAGGTAGCAATACTGCCTTTTCCCTAGTCTGGTCAATTCCCACCCACCCATGCTGTATCTTTTTATTCCTAAAGTAAGCAAGTAATTCAGAAGGAGTTTTAAGAAAGCTGATATTGACCAGAGGCTTGGAATAGCTTTGGAAACTGATGATATTCATGGAAGAACTTGAAAAAGGTAGCACTAGGGTCTTCTGGGTAGCTCTTGATGGAACTAGGAACAGCATAGTAGTCGAGTCCTGGTTTCTAGAGCAGCATATGCATGTACATTTCTGTCCTTCAGTATTTACATAGAGAGCATGCTCTTTGTATTAACTCTTGCTTATCAGTTATCTTAAACTTTCTTCAAAGTGAAATCAGCAACAGCAACAAAGGACATAAGATGTTGGAGAAGATGGGATGGAAGAAGGGGGAAGGCCTGGGCAAGGATGGTGGTGGTATGAAGGAGCCGGTAGGTCTTTCTGGTTTTTACTTGGATAAAAAAGAAATAGGAATGTATTCACAGTGACAAATACCTAATCGTAAGCTATTATTCACTTGAAACATTTCCTTCCTAACCAGGATTTTGAATAATTTCAATAGAACTAATCTCAAATAATGTTTCACTTGATTAATGAAGTATTTTGAAATTTTTCAATTATTTTGTCCCATCAGTAGAAAATGCCAGTAATGTCTGTGTTTGTTAGGAAACTAAACAAGGGAAGACAGACAGCTTGTAGTCATTGAATTAATAATCTCATAGTTGAATAATCTGGAAGAAGACTGAAATAAGTGATATGAATTCAACGTGGGCTTATGGTGGGATTTTTTACTTTCTCTGAGACAGATGTAGCACAAAAGTCAAGCTATATGACAGGCCATGAGAGAGGAAAAGCTGCCTGAAGTCACTGTAGCCACCAGGTTCTGGACCTCTGTGGCAGCCATGTTAGCCCCATTTTTGTCACTAGAGATGTGTGTCTTTTGGCAGTCATGCTGCTCAGAGCCATACCATACTTTTTCTTATCAACCTACCCAGCACAGGGATCACTCCTACTCACTGAGGAGTACTTCACAGTAATGTTAGTGGCAGGTGACATCATTCAGCACTCTAGATCACAGTTCTGAGGGTGGTGATTGAACACATCATTTTAACAGCACTTTAGACATTCATGTATGATCCAGGTATATTAGAGCCTTAAAGATAAGTGTTTTGGGAGAAGGGGTGGATTAGTATTATAAAATATGATTTAAAGTATTTAGAATACCTAACTTGCAGTTACAACAATATTTAATGTATTTGACAGATCCACCTTCAGTTACATAAGACGCATGCAGGTTTGGGTACCAGTAGACCAGCCTCAATTGAAGATGTTCAGATAATCGAGAGCAAGAATAAAAAGAACTGGAATAAAGCAAGAGAAAGGTTTGCTGAAAACTTCCAAGAACCTAAATCACAAAGGGATACACCTAAGATTGCACCTTGGGTTAGAGGGACTGTAGAGTAAAGTATCTAGTCCCACAGCAGGGTAATTCCTGTGTGTAAATAGTTGGGAGAGAATTTATTTTTATTCTTTTTTCTTTGGCTAAAGCAGAACTTTGGTGATATGTAAAATACAGTTGTGGAAAAAATTATACTAGATTAACTCTATGTTAATTGTTTTTCTGTAGTCTTCATGCTTTTATAAAAACACTTTTAATAAGAAATGAGGGGATATTCAAATTTAAGTACTTGGAAGTGATTCTCATCAATAGGAAGTTTTTTCAATTGTGTTCTTAACACAGTTCTCCATAGGAAGTCAAACAAAACATCTGTTAAAGATGATACCTTTAACATTTGAACAGTGGTTTAAAAGCAAGCTGAAACAAACAAAAAAAAAAAAAAAAAGAAAAAATCCCACAGACCTCTACTAACAGAGTATCATATTGCCTTTTCCTCTCTTGTACGTTTATCCATGATTGCCATGAAATACTCGGCAGGAACTACACCAGTACTAGTTACATGTCTCAGCTTAAGGAGGGAAAAAACTTGTTTTTAAATAGTTTATCAGTACTGTTCAAAAATAAACACTGTAGTCCATGAAATAAAATTACCACCATTGGTGAAGAGAACAATGTTCAGAGACAGCTTGTAGCAAAATTTTCTTCTGTGAAGAACTTGAGATTTGTTTAGTAAATCTGTATTATGCCTTTAAAAGAGGAGGTATGTTTAGAAAACTGCTGTCTGTATTATTTATTAACTTCTTGTTCTGATACATCCATTGCTGGCAATGGAGTTTATGCCAGAAAAAAAACCCTACCAACCAACTGATTTTTGGTGGGGAAGGATTGCCAAAGTGATGCTAAAAGCTCGGTATTTATTGAATATTCCTAAACACAATAAATCATCAATTTAACCAGTGTGCTTCTTGATATTATCTTATTCCTATGCTGGATAGGAATGCTCTTCTAAAATTAAAATACTTAATCCTATTTTATCCAGGTTAAAGTTCTGACACTTGTTCAAGTAGAGGAAACTTGGTAGTCTTACTGTTGGGTCATGCAGGCAACTGTCAAGCACTGTTGAGTAAGATCAGGATAGAGTGATAGCTATTTATCTTAATATATCTTTAGACACTGTGGTGGGTTGATTCTGGCTGGATGCCAGGTGCCCACCAAGCTGCTCTACCACTCCCCTCCTCAACTGGCTTGGGGAGAGACAATACTATGAAAGGCTTGTAGGTTGAGATAAGGACAGGGAGAGATCACTCACCAGTTACTGTCATGGGTGAAACACTCAATTTGGGAAAATCAACTTATTGCCAATTAAATCAGAGTGGGGTAGTGAGAAATGAAACCAAATCTTAAAACACCTTCCCCCCACCCCTCCCTTCTTTCTGAGCTCAACTTTATTCCTGATTTCTCTAACTTCTACCCCTGAGCAGTGCAGGGTGGGTGGGAATGGCAGTTGCAATTGATTCATCACATGTTGTCTCAGCCACTCCCTCCTCAGGGGAAGGACTCCTCATACTCTTCCCTGGCTCCAGCGTCGGGTCCCTCCCAAAAGAGACAGTCCTTCACAAACTTCTCCCAATGTGAGTCCTTCCCACAGGCTACAGTTCTTCACAAACTGCTCCAGTGTGGGTCCTTCCCACAGGGTTCAGCCCTTTGGGAACAGGCTGCTCCAGCGTGGGTCGCCCACAGGGTCACAAGTCCTGTGAGCAAACCTGCTCCAGTGTGGGCTCCTCTCCATGGAGCCACAGGTTCTGCCAAGAGCCTGCTCCAGTGTGGGCTTCCCACAGGGTCACAGACACCTTTGGGCACAACCACCGGCTCCAGCCTGGGGTCCTCCCTGGGCTGCAGGTGGAGATCTGCTCCACCATGGACCTCCTCGGGCTGCAAAGGGACAACCTGCCTCACCATGGTCTTCCCCATGGGCTGCAGGAGAATCTCTACTCCAGTGCCTGGAGCACCTCCTCCCACTCCTTCTGCACTGACCTTGGTGTCTGCAGTTGTTTCCTTCACATATTCTCACTCCTCTCTGGCTTCAGGTGTGCAGTGTTCTTTTTCCCTTCTTAAATATGTTATCCCAGAGGCACTACCACTGTTGCTTACAGGCTCGCCCTTGGCCAGCTGCAGGTCCCTCTTGGAGCCGGCTGAATTGGCTCTGTTGGACATGGGGGCAGCTTCTGGCATCTTCCCATAGAAACCACCCCAGTAGCAACCCCCCCACTACCAAAACCTTGCCAAACGAACCTAATACAGACACATCAATCTATGTTGTTTAAATAGTTTAAGCACACAAGTTTAACAACCTGAAGCACACCTTACTTCAGCACTATAGAGCTGAAGATACAGTTATGAGCACTCTGAACTCCTGCAGCAGTATTGCTTAATTAGTTCACTGTTTGCCTTTAAGTTTACTGCTTTAGTTATAGTTACAAATTACTGGCTTACTTTGCATTTCTTTATATTGACAACTTCCTGTTTTCAGAGGCTACCTACTGGTAGCTGTGACAAAAAATTGTTCTGTATGAAAGAGCTACAAGTTTTAGCTTATGTATATAAAAAGGCACTTCTGCTACTAGGAGGAAAAAAAACCCTGTATGCTAGAAGAAAGCTTTTGCCTTACTTTCAAAAAAGTTGACCTCTCTAGTCTTCATAGTAAACCAAACTACAAATCTTAATCTGAAGGAAGAGTAAGACATCTTGTACATATATCAGTAGGAACCTTCACTTTCCCTCTCTCCAGTTATTCAAGTAACAGCTCTAACAAAAGTCAATCACTGGTTTATTGTTGCCTTGCAAAAACAAAACTTGAAAGGATATAACTAAGTTTGCATTGCATAAAGTGTTTGAAGTAAGACATCATTCACTTTCTGTGAGAGGCATGGTCTCATGCAATCAAGCACTGAACTGCTTTCAGTACTGCAGCTTCCTCTTTCAGCAAAAAGTTCCATATGAAAGGTTGAAGCTTAGTCTCGGTTTAGCATTGGTGTGACAAATCCCATTATCTCTTGATGCTGCCTAGGAAAGTGGAAAAAGTGGTGCCATTAATACACATAGCATTGTTAACAAAACAACTGAAAATAGGTCTGACTAATACTCATCAAGTAGTTGTGTGCCTTTACTGAGTAAGAAGACTTGTATTGAGCTAAATAACGGCTTCTCATCCTTTACCTTAGTGACCTCTCAAGTACAAATGAGTTAGGTGACAGGCACCAGTGGTGTGCAAGCCTTATGTGCAAATGCAGTACTGCCTTCCCTCATGTCAGGAGGGGAACATGAGTTGCCATTGCACTATTATAATTTTGGAGGCTATAACCAGTAAGATACAGCATAAAGTTTAACTGTCTCACCTTCTCAGTCCTCCAACCATCCTCTTGTCTGTTCCAACTTGTGATACTTAATATTGATCCCTTAGACAAAGTTGCTTTTCTATAAATCTGATGTCAGAAGTTTTAGCAGTTTACTGTTTGTCTATATAAATATTGTGACTACATATAATCTTAAAGTTGTTAAGAATAACATTACATTCATCAGTTTATACACTTATTTTTTATAGTCCTAACAGTGAATTTTGCAAAGCACCAATTTACCAAACATACTTCTGAAAATTAAAATAAACTAAGAGTAGGTACATTCGTATCTTCAGTGCTGAACAACCAAACTGGCAAGTAAAAACAGGAAGTGCATTCATCCCTGTGTGAGAGCCACTGGACTAAACACCTATGCAAACAGGGGCTCTGAACTATTGTATATGCATTTGAAGTATTTTTACAAAACACAGGTGAAACTGGAGTTTGTTTTAACAAGAACAGGCCCTTTACTGCTGCAACTGGCTATATGAAGTGTACCTGACAGGGGCTTTCAGTCAGTAGATAACAAATCCATTGCAGGATGGATATCAAAACTGGCATCCTGTTACAAACAAGATGTATTTAAATGCGCATACCAACGGATTTTGTTCCATATGGAGATCTTAGAAGTGCTGCCTGTCTTGTGACCACAGAATGTAGGATTTTTTTCTCATCTAGTTGCTGCTTTATACATGTTTTTCATCTGCCCCTTGTTTTAATGGGACAATACCTTTCTGTTGATGAAACAGACGTGTTACCTGCTTCCGTGGCACAGCTCGCATTGATCTTGGTACAGCCCTACAGTGTAGCAGGGCACCGACCACTCTCATCCGTTTGCGCTGAAGGGTCTCGGTGGTATTTCAGCACTGCACACGCGGCACACGCCGATTCTTCTGCTGCTCCTCGAGCTCCTTGGTTAAGGCAGGAGGAAAAACGAGGCTTATGGCCTGGCCGTCCCTCCGGCGGGGCCCTTCTACGCGCACAGGTGGCTCTGTGCCGGGCAGCCAGCCGGGGCCGGCAATACCTCCCGCCGCTTCTCCCGCGGCCCCGCGCCAGCCGCCCGCCTCAGCCGCCGCTTCGGAGCCCGGGGAGCTGCTCCGGCCCCGGCCCCGGCGCCGCCCGCCCCGCCACGGGCGGCCCTTACCTCCCCGCCAGGCCCGCCGCCATCTTGCCTCGCCTCGTCCCGACCGGCCGGCGGCCGCGGCGCGGCGGCACCGCCCGGGGGGCGGCTGAGGGAGGCGGGCGGCCCGCCCAGCCCGGCCTTGCCGCGCGCTGGCCTCGGCGACTCGAGCGTGAGCTTAATGCCCCTTCTCCTCCTCCGCTGCCCCTCCTGCCTCCCGCCGGGGCCTCGCCGCGGGCTGCCCAGCCTCGCCGCGGGCTCAGGTGTTGCAAGAAAGGAAGAGAATTGGGATGTTCCCATGAGTTAACAGCTGATGTGGTACCCTGCTGCTCAGGAGGAGCAGAAGGAGTAGAAAATCCGTCACAGATGGACAGTAGAACTGGAGGCTGAATAGTCACTAAAAAAAAGGAGACCCATAGATACTAGTTTAAAAAATACATCTACATGACGTTTTTAAACATTCAGGATCAGAACCTAAGAATGAATGACTGGAGTTTCAGCAGTGATCCTGAGAAAGAAATGCCTGGGGCACCCAGCGCAACCCACAAAGGGAGCCGGCACAGCAGTAGCCTCAGCCAGTTCATGTGCCAGCACAGCACCTCATCCCGCAAAGAACTGACGCCTTACAGCCCCTACTCTTCAGCCTCCCTCTGCCCTCCCTTTTCCAGCTAAGGATCTTGGTGGACTGGCCTTGTTCTAGCAGGCTTAGGTCAAGCCTTGTTGCTACTGCAGGCAGTATGCTTTGGCCAAACCTCAACTGTTGGACTTTGTGAGACTAAAAAGTCTGCATAGGTGGGCAGGCTAGATTTTGCATCTCCTTGAGTCTTGCACTAACACCTGTTCATCTTCAACCTTTCCCCCTTTCAGATCTTCACTTTCTTTTTGTTTCCCCTGGCTATTTTTTTTTCTTTTAGGTCATCAGGGTTTTTTAAATTTAGCTACTTTCTACCCATAAAAAAAAAATAATAAAGTGCTGTTTAAATAAAACTGATACTTACTTGAGTTACCACCATTACACTGCTTCCTAGATTTGTTTTTTCAGCCTTTTATCTTCTTAATTCAACCTGTACTACCAGCAGGCTTGAATAGTCTCTGAAGTACCTAACAATGTCAAGTAAGGCGTAGTGTGAATCAAAATTATAGTTGCGGTTCCTTAACTTCCTTGGCAAACCCTTAATCTTTTTGTTTCTTTCTTTATCTGCACAATGGGAATAATAATACTTGTTTTCACTCCCTCTTTAGAGATGCTTAAAAACTGTCCAGACACAGTCCTGGGCAACCAGCTCTAGGTGACCCTGCTTGTGCAGTGGTTTGGACAAGATGACCTCCAGAGATCCCTTCCAACCTCAACCACTCTGCAATTCTGTGATTAGTACAGAAGTTATAGTGAAGAACTGGTTGGCAGTTGGATACTACAAGGGGTGTAGGCCATAGGTATATATAGGCAGGCAGACAGAAGTCTTGAAATAATGGTAGCAAGGAAACCAACAAAAAGCCTGTGGAGAGTGGACAGTTTAAGACTTAACGGCAAGAAACAAGCTGCTGTCCAGCCTACTCTTCACCAGATATCCTTGAGGTCAGCATTGATGACCCAGAAGAGGTTAAGTTGCAAAAAGAACAGCAGGCATGTGATGAGTCTGAATGGTAAATATTAAACAGGATTTTTGGAAAGTACACAGGTGGCTATTTTTTAGTGTCAATGCCAGCCTACGGAGTGGAAAAACTAGAACAAAACTCCATCAAACCTTGCCTGAAGCAGTTGCTGCCACCATGGCACTAAGCACCATAAGCCAAAACACTCCTCCAGCCTGACAAGTCAAGCATTCCTCTATGCAGCATAACAAAGAAACAACAGGTTAAAAAAAAAAAAAAAAAAAAAAAAAGAAAAAATTGATACAATGCACAAGTTAGTGGCATAGCGCTGGACAATTTTGGCTTTTTGAAACATTGTCACATGCTTTATAAAGAGCAATTCTCCACTGCACAATGTTGTACAAAGTCCTGGTGTTCCTGGCAGGTCTGGATAGGACCATCTATTCGTAGATGATTGCTCAGTGTGATGTAGGTGCACTGGTCCTCCACAAAGACAATGGCAGGGAAAACACTGCTGAGATGTTTCTGAGGTATGTTTTCTGTTTGGAGATTTTTTGGAGAGATTTTTTGATCCAAGTCAACCAAGAGTTTGGGGTTTTTTGGTTATGATAGCTGTGGAAGACCAAAGCTTTTGCCTGGTTGGGTTATTTGATCATGAGCAGTTGTTAAGCTTTCTACCAAGGAGGTTAGTGTGATATGAAAATAATAACCATGAAGCACAAGAGATGGGATTCTTGTGTTTGTTCCGACTGAGTACAAGATAAGTGTGTGGACAAGGTCCCCATCCAGCTTTTTAGAGCTTGCTTAAAGCACTTCATGAGAAGGAGAGTGTAGTAGGGATGTTCTTGAAAAGTATTATTTTTTGAGACAGTAGTTCCTTTTTTCATTTTACCATATAAATGCTTCATTTTAGACATATGTCTTTATATAAGAAAGGCTCGACTCGGAAATCACTTACAGTACATACCAGGAGGAAAATCACAAGTTCTTTAAAATAGCTTTATCCACTACATATTTTTAGTGACAAATTTTGGAGGTATTTCAATAAAGGCAGCTCTTATGGTAAATTTACAATATTGGAGGTTCATTATGGATTGAGATACTGAGTGTATGTTTTGACTTGATAGAGAAATACATGTGAAAGATGACTGAGTTTCAGCTTTATCTGCTTTCCCACATATCTGTACATGTGGCACTGTGCAGAGACCCTGCCACTGGGTTGACAGTTGAAATCTGCACCTTACTTGCTCAACCACCCATTTACGCTGAATTTTGCCACAGCCAGAGTTGAATGAAAACTGAATGTGGTTTTAAGCTTCTAATCATTCTCACTTCGGGTAGCTGCTGCTTGTTCTTCCTCAGACCTTCTGCAAAACCCGATGTTAGCTGGTTCTTCCAAGGCTGTATATTTGAAGTTATTCAAGGGATAGTGGAATATTGCAAAAGTGTTTAAACAACTCTCTACAAAATGTGATGTGAGCCTCACCTGTTTCCTCACTGTCCTGTGACCTGCATTCAGGAACGTATTTCCTTTCCCCTAAACACTGCTGACACCTGGCTATGGTAATCCAGTTCCCAGTGTTCACTGTTAAAACTAATGAACTGTTGAAGCCTAGATAAATCACTTTAGTTGTTACAAATAAAGATTAAGAAGTCTTAACTGAGTGTAAGGCTCATTTTTAAAATGCTGCAGTGGATACATTGTCAAGAGACCATCAAGTTGAGATCTCAGTACACTTGAAGAGGCCTCCTGTAACATCTGGCAGGATTATTAATAGCTGCCACAACTGATTTAGGTAAAGAATATGTTTTCTTGGGGGATTTTAACTAATGAATCGTGTCATTTTGTTCACCTTTGTTTTTATTTGTTTTTCTTTGAAAGGAGTTTTTGTTATGCAGACATGGATACAAACATTGTACCTGGGTTTGAAAGCTTGAAAGAGCACCCTAAAAATTCTGGAATATAAGGGTAGGAGTCTGAACTGTGATGTCACCATGTCTTCTGTGAGTTCATGCTAACCTCCATCATCTAATGTTCTGGCCCCAGAAGCTTACAGGACATTGTTAGTAAATGGGTAATAGTGTGGGTGTTGGTACAAAAGTCTACACACATACACACATGCCCTAACTCTGCAAGCTGGACGAGAAATTAAAATGTTTGTGTCAGACATTGGAGGAACAACATGACCCAAGACTGAGAAATGTGTTCATCTCTCACAGCACCATACTCCTGCCAAACTGTGTGTGTAGCACCACAGCAATTAGCCAAGGAAGATCTTTCTATTGTCATTTATTTAGAAGCCCGGCTATATTTGCTCACCTAAATGAAGCCTTTACCCACTGCTTATATTCCACATTTCTTGTGACAGCTGCACTAATAGTTGGCATAATCGCAGTGCCAGCCAAATTGCAGCAATGTTACAGGTGTCAGGATGCTTGCTTATTTTCAAAACACTACACATTTCAGATTGCGCATTTCTCATTTGAATAATTACATGTTTTATATTCTTTTACATGTCGTTAAAAATAGTCTACAGCCTTAAAATCTATAACTCTCGACAGCTGCAGTGGCTCGATTTTTACTGGCTTCAGTTGTAGTGACTCAATCATCTGACAATTAGAAATTATTTTACAAAGCATATTTTGGAATCTACAAGGTTCATTTAGAGTAAAAAATAATTCTCTGCAAAGTGAAGATAGCAGTCTTCACTTTAGGCTTTCACAGTGATGTTTTTCACCAGCTACTTGCCACTTTAAGTTTCTATTGATTATGTAAGAATAGAATATAATTTCATTGATACTTGCATCTGGTTTGTTTGTTTGTGGGCTTTTTTGCTTGGTTGGTTGATTTTTTTTTTTGTTTGGGTTTGGTTTGGGGTTTTTTTGTTTTTTTTTTAATAATGGCACCTCTTTGAGTTCAATGCAGCTACTTGGAATTTACACTAGTATTAATGAGAAATAGGTTGCCAGCACTAGATCCTCAGAATGAGAGGTAGTAACCAAAACATGGCTGAGCATACTGATATATCATGCACAAAAATCAACACAAAGAGTATGTTGTTAACATTGTTGTCAGGCCCCCAAGTGTTGCAGAAATGCAAGAACGACAGTTGCCTGAACATTTATCAGAATTTCCAGCTGTTGAATGCTTAACTGCATGATGCCAATGGTGTTGTTTCAATGCAGTTTTCTTGCTTCATGATTTAATGTATAATTATATTCTCATGCCCTCTTTACTTCCAAAGTCCCTCTACAGCTTTTATTGCACAGGAGGGAATATCCTTAGCTAGCAATCGACTGGATCAGATTTCTTCTCTTCACTTTCCCTTTACTCCATGACTCCTCTTCACATCTTCTGGCCTGCACCATAAATCCCATGCTCTTCTTTGGACCATCGCTTCTTTTTGTCATTAAGATTACACTTGGACTTGTTGAACTTCATGAGGTTCACATGGGCCCACCTCTCAAGCCTGTCAAGGTCCCACTGGATGACATCCCTGCCCTCCAGCGTGTTGACCGCACCACACAGCTTGGTGTCATCTGCAGACTTGCTGAGAGTGCACTCAATTCCACTGTCTGTCACTGACAAAGATGTTAAATAATGCTGGTCCCAATACAGACCCCTGACAGACACCGTTTATCACTGTGGACACCATCTGGACATAAAGCCATTGACCTCAACTCCTTGAGTATGACCATCCAGCCAGTTCCTTATCCACTGAGTCATCCACCTGTCAAATCCATGTCTCTCCAATTTAGAGGCAAGGATGCTGTGCAGGACAATATCAAATGCTTTGCACAAGTCCAGGAAGATGATGTCAGTCATTCTTCCCTTATCCACCAATGCTGTAACCCCATTGTAGGAGGCCACTAAATTTCTCAGGCACTATTTTCCCTTAGTGAAGCCACGTTGGCTATCCTGTTGGTTATTAATGTATTTAAAGTCAATCAGCACTCTTTAGTGCTTTGATGTCCAAACCCAACCTTTGAAGGCTCTGATTAGTACATGGCTGGTGTCTTACTGTGCTGCAGCCTTCCAGAAGAGGTGAAAATCCAAGATCTTAACTTCCTTGGGCTGTTAAAGTTTCAATAATGTTTTCATCACACATAGAAGTATTTTGACCAAATTCCAACCTTGATAATAGCAACTCCAGATGGATAAATATTCCCTGTGCTAAATTTTCTCTGCACTTTTCATTGTTGATTCTTGTCGGAAGTGGTCATGCAGCAGCTATGCACTGGTATGCCATTGCCTCATTCTTCTAGGGCAGTGACACTACTACCGTGAGCATAAAAGGTGGAGACCACCTTATCTCCAGCATGGCAACATTAGCAGGGATTATGATCAGAGCAGTGGCACAGAGGAGCACACCTGCACAGCATGTCCCACGTGCAGAAGAGATTTCTGCACTCCCTGACATGGGCTGTTACAGGGAGCTGAGGAAGGGGCAGACTAAAGGAGTGCAGAAAGTCTGTTCTTACAAATCTGGTGGCTTCAACACTCCTTATAATTGCAGTCTCAGCTGAAAATGCAGCTGCTTGTCTAGCTGATGATCAGGGGGACAAGAGACCTGGGTTTCCTCAGGTTGGAAGAGTGATTTACGCATCTCTGCCCTCATGCTTCTGCAGAACCAAAGCCCATGGTCTGCATGTAGGAAGTGTTGTAGAAATTCTGCAAAGGTTGATTTCACCAAGTGAATGGCAGTGGTTTTCTTGATTATTTACAGCTTCATCTAAACAGCTTGAGCAATCATTTGGCCTTCAGAAGCCTGTTTTTCTGTGTGTCCTCACCACTCACATTGTACTGTGCCAGAAATTGGAAGTAGTCTGGAGAACCATGGTGTGAATGACTAGAAGACTGTAAAACATAGTTGGGAAGTCAAGCTGAAGAATGTGGTTGCTTTGTCCTAAAAAAAAAAAAAAAAGAGTGAGTATACATGGACAAAGATTTTGCAGGCATAGTGTTGAAGAGGATGGTAACCAGTTATCTTCCAAATCTATGAGGGAAAGAACAAGTAAAAATGAGCCTAATATGCAGCAAAAGACAACTGGGTTTGGAAAACTTTCCACCTCCGTGGGCCAACATCATGAAATCTCTGGGCAGAGTGTACCTTTATAACAACAAGTTGGATGGTTCTCCCCAGTGGGTCCTGATCCTGTACCAGGTCCTGCCTCCAAGAAGGCAGCCAGGGTAGATCTCCTGGAGCTTCTTCCAGCCCCATTCTCACTGCTGTTGTGTGCTGCAGGGAACATGTACAGCAAACCTAGCAATGTTGTTGGATCACTCAGGTAGGGATCAGTTTGTGGGTCAGATAGGTGTCAGATTAGTTCACCTCTTGAAGTACTCTCTACCCTCAACTGTAAATTTTAAAACATTTGCCTTTGGATTTTGTTTTGGTTTGGTTTTTGTTTTTGTTTTTTTTTTTTAAACTCTGCACTTCATCCTGTTGTTGGTACATCTCTCAGGCTCAGACGTTACAGCCATTTGCAAAAAACAACAGAAGCTTTTACTTTTCTGAAGACTTTTTCAGAGTTAAATGAATTCATATGATTTCACTAGCTTCCATACTGTGCAACCTTTGCATCCTGATGCAGTTGTATTCCCTGTTTTGCATTTCATTTCAGTGCATTCTGTGAGACTAACTAGAACTTACTAGGAAATTCAGTTTTTCTAAATTATTTTTCTAATTTATGTCTTCTGATAATGTTTTCCATTTCTCCTCTGATTTCACATCTCTCTATGTTCTTGGTCTCAGTTTTTCCTGCTGAGAAGTGCTGACTGCTATGCAGCATACGTTTTTCCTGTAGAAACAGAATTAGAATTGTAAACATTTCTCTTCAATTTCCTGTTTACATTAAGAAAAAAAAAAAAATCTCTATCTTCATATTAATCAGGAGAGAATGTGTCCCCAGCAGCCTCTCTTCAATCTGAACCTGACATGGAAGTTGATATAACAACTTGCAATACTGATTTAAGTGCCACATCTGTTACTGAGAAATAAAAACCTAGTAAGTGAGCATCCCTTCATGAAATGTTAACCCTTTTGTAAAGACCCCTTTGCACATCAAAAAAACCAAAGGTATTTTTATTTGATGTAAATCAACACAAGCCCAGCTATGCAGTTTTATACCACCTATTCTGTTTTACACCAAACATTCTCCTTCATATTGTCAATCTTGCTTCTGTCTATGTAGAACTATAATCTGTAGATCTGTGGATCTGTGCACCTGTGGATGTGGCCTGGCAATCCTCAGCAGGTCAAAAGTTCTGGAGCAAGATTTTCTTTTTAAGCAGGCCTCTTTCTCTAGACCTACCCTTTAACATTGCTCAGTTTTGATGATTAGCCTCCTAAGATTTCTCAGGGTGAACAAATTGAACAAATCTGTCTTCTAATAAAGCTGCCAGGACTCATGTTGATGAGGTCCTCGAAGATCCTAATGCCCCTTCAGACTGTTTACAGAAAATTGGGAAGAAGTGAATTGCAAGCAGGTGTTTTGCACTTATGGTAGCCTAAAGTCATCATATCTGCAAGACCTGGGAGCAGGTCCTGTCTGCACATAATTGAGGTGAGTTAGTTAGAGTATGTAAGCCGATATGCAGACCTTACTTTGGGC